CCACGAAAACTATTAATTTCGAGCTTCCAAAGCATGTCCCCTCGCAGGTATATATATGGTTTTGTCATGTTTTGTCATGTTTTGTATATAGTGTGACATCACTGTAGATTGAAAAAAATGGTTGTTCGGGACTGGAACTTTCGTCAAACATACTCGTGGGTCAGGAATCCTCAGGTGCAGTGACATGAGCTGAGTCGACGCGAACTCTCATGGCTTAGCTAGCAGAACCCTCTCACAAATTCTGTGGTCAACCCAAATGCACCTGCAGTGTTCTGACGGAGTGCTCACCGCAGAGTTTTCTTTGTCCCATTTTCATCCATTTGTGGTCCTTAAGATGTCAGAGCAACCAGACTCCCACTTTGGACGGTTGTTCAACGACCCCAACCGCAGACGCTCTGTTCATCGCCGAGTTGCTGGGTCCGGATAGGACCCCCCGGAACCGCTCCCACGGGTCCCCTGCGATCCCCTTTCCGCGCGTCGCGCGTCGCGCTTCGCGTCGCGAGGCGCCCGGACGCGGCCGAGCAGCGCCCTGCCGCGCCTCACGGATCCCTGCAAGCAGGCCGCACCGGGCGGAGTTGGGGCTCGGACCGACGGGCCAACGCACGGAGTTCGGGGTGATCCAACGCACGGTTCGGTTGGATCACTTCCGGCTTTGCGGGTTTGGATGGGTGAGACGGTGAGGATGGTTCAAGAACACGTTGGGAGGTTTGGGAGCTTGGGATGGAGACCAAGATGGAACTTGCCCGTTTTCCTTCAACACATCATGTTTGGCCCCAGGGATGTGTTGGCAGAATGGTTTGGCAATTTCTTACCATTGAACAGGCAAGTTTTTCTGGATACGATCCACAAGATTTCATCTACCCCGACGACCCCCCGGTTTTTTCTTCTCAAGGGTTCCTTCCATCTCCCATCTCTCGCCTGGCAGACGCTCCGTGTTGTCACGCCCCGTGGAAAACGCCCCCACAGCAAACACGAGGAGCAAAGAAAGGCCCCGACGCCACCGCTGTGCACGGCCCCGACGTGCTACACGGCCCACGGCAGGTCTGTGCGATTTGTCGGGACCAGCCCTTGGTCTTCCACGAATGCCCGGAGTGTGCGGCGAGGCGAGACGTGGCGGCGACCACAGTGGTGCCATAAACGGCGCCGATGGGGATGGCGTGGAGGAGTTTTTGGGGGCTCGTTTGGGGGAAGCAGGGGCCCCTTCCGGGGGAGCAGACCGGGACACCAACGTGCAGTGCAGCCCCTTGTGCTTCACATTGGGGTGATTCGAAGGACTCGATCTTCATTCGATGTGCAGCCCCTTGTGGCAGTCCACCCACCGGTTCAACCAATTGCACCTCCTGATTTGTAAGGCAGACATTTCTGGCTGTGATGGCTGCGACTTGAAGTGGCACAAATCCACTTGGCTTGAAGAAGTGGTCGCCTTCACTTTGTACTACGAGATGTGGTTGACGATACGTGGACTCGGGGGGGTTGACAATAACGACAGGTCTCCGAAGTGACCATCGACACATCTGCCGCTCACTTCAACCAGTAGAGGTCGAAGAGCCATATATAGACTATAGACTAGCCCAGAGGTAGGCCAGTGCGGTCCTTGTTCAGGTCACTTAACCTCTCTTGGACTGACTCGATGCCCCCGTGTAGGAGCCGTCTGACTGTGACTGTTACGTGGTCAAGACAGCAACGCAGTCGCGCCAGATATTGTGCCAGTGGGTGCCTCTTGAGCTGGTACGAGCACACGCGGCTTGGGGGGCCAAGAAGCGGAGATCGAGAGTTGGTCATCCCGGGGGCGTGAACCTAGCAAATCTATGAATATGTTGCCATTAAGTTTTGCTTTCCAACCTAGAGGTGGAAAACCCATCTGTTTGTAAAGGAAGAGGGTCTCCCAAGAGATGATATTCCACTGCCATGTGATTCACAGTAGAATCTGCCACTTACACGCTCACTCACGAACATGGAAGTGGAGTGTCCACCCTATCTGAATCGTCTTCCCAGGGGTCAGTATCCATCTTCCATGTTAGGGAGCGAGTGGATGTGAGAGGTCGCCCACCAGGCCACCTGACGTCATTGGAATGCTGAGCACTTCCTCATTCCTGGTCCAAGCAAGGCAGGGCTCATCATGGCAGGTGGTGCATCATCCGTCGTATGCCTTTGGTTTCAGCCAAGTTGCAAGGCCGAGCCACACGATGGCAACGAATGCAACTCCTCCCCCTTTGCCACAAAGATGTTACTGTTAGAGCCGAGCGCGTTCGAGGCGTTGCGCTCGCGCATTCGAGGCCGTGCGCTCCTAATGGGATACTGCCAAGCAGGGAAAGCAAGACCGCATGAACTTCCTGGGAGGTTTGACACGACCTGACTGAATAAAAGACCAAGGTGTGAAGTGCATAGTTATTGAACTAAGGACTCACCATCCGGCCCACCATCCGGCCGGTTGCGTTGAAAGCATCGATTGACCCTCCACATTCAGCACCATGAAGGAAAGAACACCACAAGATCCTGACACCAGGTTTTTGGCAAAGGAGTTCACAGAGAGGTGCCCCCCATTCCACTCATGGGTTTACAAACCCACCTCCCCTCGTCACCCTTGGCCCAAAAAGACTCATGGCTTAAAGAACCACGCAACACCAGTGCCAGCGCCACACCACTCGGAGCACCCGTCCTGCGCCGCCCATGGCCCTGGCGCGAGCACCGGTGCTCGCGCCGACCCGCGGATGCTGCTCTGCTGCGGCGCTCCCGAGCGGCGGGTCCCGGCGCTGCCCGGCGCCGTGGGGGGCGGCATGCCGCCAGGTGAGCCAGATGGGGTGTGAGTGGATGCGAACGGAGTCTTGGAATGAGACTCATTTGGTACGAAGCATCACGAAGCGAGAAAGAGAGAACGGCAAAAGGGAAGATTTGAGAGCAAAAAGTTGAAATCTGCAAGAGACCAGACCTGGTGGCAGGCGTTGGTGGCGTGGAAGCTCTCTGTAGCTTTGTTGGCTTGCGCCCGCCAGAGGCATTTGTACTTGGAGTAGCTTGAGTCGTTAGTTGAGTCGTTGTCGGGCGGTGGATGGAGTGGCTGTTGTTCTTTTCCTTTCTCTCTTGATGGATCTTTATATGGTGTGCTTAGTGCTTGATGGTGTTTGCGGTTCTTTTTGCTTCGGCACCTCGCGTCATCTAAAGTAGAAGCAGCCGTCCGAAGAGGGGTCCGAAGAACTCGTTCGGTGCCCCGGTTTGAGGCGCCAGACCCGGCTGCGAGCAGAAGAGGAGGGAGTCGGAGAGTGGGCGGTTCGAGTCGGAGAGTGGCCAGAGGCCATGCAATCCACAAGTTAGGGGGGAATTGACTGGATGCTGGATTTAGTTCGAATCACGGCACATGCTTTGCATTCGGATTCGCCAGAGACGATTCAGAAGCCCTGGTCGTCCAACTAGCACTGCCAGGGGTTGACTCCACGTTTTCTTGCGCGGAGCAGTGATTCGTTAACCAAAAACGGTGCTGCAAAGAAACCTCATCCAGGCTGGATATCTGATGGTGAAGCAACATCGTGTGCAGTGTGACATCCCACTGTTCCATTGGGTGAAAGGAACAAAAACGCCACACAGGTGCCAGCTACCTCTTTGGCCACCCAGGTGCCACCTCGACCATTGCATGGGTGAGCGGAGACGCCGCTTCGCGGTGTCGAGACTGCGCTTGGTTCCTTGTTTCGTTCCACGAGGCTGAACACCGTTCCATCTTGTTCGGCTGCGGCGTTTCCTGATGGCCGTAGTAGATTTACATGGAACATTTCCATCATGCTTCTTCATGTTCCGAGGAAAGAACCCCTCCTAGGGATGACCAATAACATCGAGGAAAAAACTCATCCTATATGATCATGTTTCAGATGAAAAAAAGCAATCCTTTTTGAAAAAAAGAAACGCCCTCACCCCCCTTCACCCCCTTCACCCCCTTCACCCCCTTCACTTCTTCCCCAAACCATGCTGGATTTCCCCCAAACGCTCGCAAAACGCTCGCTCGCGGTTCTGCAGGAGTCGGCCTCTCCAGGACTCGGCGAGGAGGAAGACCTCCTGGGCCGGCGCCTGCGGATTTGGTTCGTCTCGGAGGAGGACTCAGCTTCGCGCGAGCGAACGTTGGGCGCAGAAGTGGGTGGCAAGAGAGGTGTGGAAACAGCAGAGGACGGGTGCTTTGGAAGAGGTTGGTCATGGAGAAGGCCAGGCCGGAGAAGGCCAGGCCGGAGAAGGCCAGGGAGAAAGATTTGAAATCAAATGACCCCAACACCATCCAGCCCACCGAACTTCAGGATTGATCAGTGAGCCTTTTTCAAAAGACCGCAAATCTGTTGACCGACCCGCCGGATGTTCAAGGGTCGCGACGAAGGACGGTGAGTGTCTCTTGGATGGAGAACTTCCATTTCTTCGGAGTCTCTTGGATGGTTGACACTTTCTCCTTGGGTGGGAGAAGCCATCGGAACCATCGGAAGCCTGCGGAAGGAGTTGGCGGACTACGAGTACGGCACGATCTCGGCCGTGGGGGGTCTCGGAATTTCGCTCTGAGAGGTTGGGTAAAGGAGAGGATCTCACAATCTCGGTGGAAGGGTTGGTGGTTTTGTGTCATTCTTCGATGGGTTTTGTGATCTTGTACCCTGATAAGACGCAGAGGCTCTTGGAAATGATGGTGTACCATGGTTTACCTGAGGAAAATGGCTTTCCAGCTGCGTACGTTCCACTTCCATCAGTGTTTCAGGGAGTGTACCAAGTGAAATGGTTCAACATGAACTGAACCTGAAGAGAGACCACCGAACTGGAATGCCACGAACTGGTTTGTTCCGTCAATTTTGCGGGTTTGGAGGTCCGTTTGTGTCCGTTGCTGAGCATTTGCGACCGGTCAGTGAAGGATGCTTCTCCAACTCAGGCTGGAAGAGGTGCCACTGTGATGGGGCGTGTAAGCAGCGTGGTGCCACGCTGACGGTGCTGTCCACACTCAGTCGAAATGGAACGAAAGAAATCACACACTCCCAGGCAGAATCCACTTCGATGCTCATCCAGGGTCCCCACAAACCATCAAAAACCTGGTTTCCCTAGCAAACAACACGGTTTTTGTAGGTGAACACCTGTTGCTTCAGTGAGTGCTTCAGTCGCTTGGCAATCCCTGTTGGGCGGGGACTGCGCGAACGCGGAGAGCGCCCAAAACCGCGCTCACCATCCCCCGGCTTCTCGAAATGCACGAACGCGAGACCAAAGACTTGCACACCCTTGCTTCGTGCCTCATTGGACAGCACACCCTTGCTGCAAACTCTCCATTCCAAGGTCTTGTAACACCGGTGGGTGCGTAGACCTTGCAATCCGACCCCCCACAGGCTTGGGAACTCGACCAGTCCACCCAGCCCGACCGAAGCGAAGCTTCGCTCACTTCATCCCGCCCAGGTGCATGACGAGGATGAGGCGGCGGTGTTCGTCGTTGGGGTGTGTCTCCCAGGAAGAGACTGCAGGTCAGACACCCGAGTCACCCCCGATTTCAGGGCATCGACCTGAAATCGAGTGGTTGCCGGTCGTGGACCTGAGGTGATCCGGGGCGAAGCCGAATGGATCTTTAGGTCACGGCCCCGTGGTGGTTTTTTGGGGTGAAAGGCTTGCGGCTAGGGTCCAACTTCTTCGCAGGGAGTTCCAGTCCAGTGCCATTTCCAACTCCCAAGTTCCGCAAGGTGTTTCGGTGTTTCAACCAGTCGTGGGGTTCAACAGCGACTGGAAAGACCATGAACACTGAACAGTTACCCTCCCTCGAAGATTACGTGGTTTCGTGGTTAGCAAATTAATGGAACACTCAAACCCTGAATTGTTGGAAACACCAATTCTGAAAACCCACATGGTTTTCCCATGGTTACGTGAAGTGTCCGGCCTCCGGAATTGTTGAAGAGTAGAGTGGATAGTGAAGAGTGAAGCTTGAACCTTCTCGTAGGTGAACGGATGCTATGAAAAGATGCAAACAGCCTCATATGTTTTTTTTCATCAGCATGGTGTGGAAAAACGTTAGTAAATATATGTACACAACCCATCAAAATCAATGGCAAGCAGAAGAAGTGGAGTGAGTGAGTGAAAACCGCCTGAAACCAGTCTGAGCCATGGTGTGTCTTGGTTCTGCAGAAATGCGGTGACCTCCGTCGCAACCATCATCCATTTCTGGACATGCCAGGTCACCATCCAGTGGGATGGGCAAGGTGCGAATCTTCTGCCGTGTGGTGGAAGGGTTTCTTTTTTGGAGCACCAGAGTGGGGTTTTCGATGTTTTTGTCGAGCGTCCTTCTTCCTTGGGGTCTTTGGGAGGGCTTTTTCCGTGTTTCGTCCACCTGCCTCACCAAGTCAAGAAGCTCCAGCAAGCTCAATTACTCTTCCTGGAACTAACCCTGTTTGCTCCTCGGATGTGGTCATCCAGCCAACCTTGCCCATTCGGAAGGTATTTCGCATCACGGCCACGAGACGGTCTAGCGAAGGCAAGAAACGGTCTAGACCCTCCCGATTTTAGCCTTTGGGTGCTTCAGGATGGATTGGTTTTCAGCGAACATCTGCACAAAACCATGGTTTTCACCCAAAACTACCAGGGCCCTCTGTTTGGGGTGTCTACAAATGGCCCTGAAAAGAGGTGATTCGGGGTGTCCATTCACCAGGGGCCCTGGTATCGGTTTCCTGTACACTCCCAGCAACTAACATGGACCATTTTCCATCATGTTCCTCAACAACCCGTCCATGTTACTTGGAGATCCAATTTGCCCAAATAAACCCATTTGGGGGTTCATGTTACATGTGAATCCTGGTCCATGTGAATCTATCTATCCAGCCAACAGCTGATCACGCTCACCCGCCCGACGGCCGAGCCTCTTCAGGTGAAGAACGCCTACGTCTCGGCGATGTGAGGCGTTGTGACGGGAGAAGAGGGAGATGGGAGATGAGAAGCTGCAGTTCTTTTTTTCACTCAGTGACATGGTGACTTTTTAAGTTCATTTTTTCGCCATATGTTTCTCATGACATATGAGAAGGGTCTGTCTTATGAGAAGTGCTTCTGCAACGAGAAGAGATTCAGGATTCACCGGAAATGGGTTTGATGAGAAGCGCATGTGGCTTTGTGAATCCTTTTTGACCCGGGCAACTAGTAACTAGTATTTCTACCACTTGCGAGTTTCACCCTTGGAGCTTTTGACCTAGATGGACAGGGAGACTATGAGCAGTTAGCCGGGCGGAGCCTTGGCTGTACACGCGGAATTTGCTCGCCTGTACACGCGCTTGGAGCTCGGTTGTGCACTCGCTTTCTCAGTTGCACGCCGCTTTGCTCTGCTGAATGAATGAATGAATGAAAGAAGGAAGGAAGGAAGGAAGGAAGGAAGCAATTAGCAAAAAGAGATCATCATCTAGATGAATGTCCACAGAGACGTTATTAACACCCCCCCCACCCCCCATCCCAACCCAACAACATCAATCAAGCGCAGAGCATCTGTGTTACATGGTACTGTGGAAGCAATGATCAAAAAGAGATCATCATGTAGATGAATGTCCAGAGGGACGTTATTAACACGAGCATGTGTGTGGAGACCTGACCCAACGACGCTTCATGAAAGAATGACATATCGTGTACACATCACATCAAATCAATTTGTGCGTGCGCAGGTGGGCGAAATCTGTGTGCGCAGGTGAGTTTGAGGTAGCAGGCACAGCTTGAACAAGGATGTAATCGATGTGTGCGCCGGTGAGCGAATCCTGTGTGCGCAGGTGAGTTACTTGTATCAAGAAATGCTGTGTGTACAGCTGAGCGAATCTTGCGTGCGCAAGTGAGGCGCCGTCCCAGTTAGCCCCTGCCCCAAACGGGCAGCTTCAACTTGATGATGTTTCCGTCTGGAACTAGCTTTGACGGGAGCGTTTGCAGGTAGGGGGGGACGATTTTTCCGGAGAATCCGGAGGCAGGTTCCGTCCGGGAGAAAGTTCCAGAGCAATGCTAGCATACGTCATCCAGCTAGCATGTTGTCACGCTGACATGTTGTAATTAAGTCAGGCTATCATTGGCCTTGGGTGACATGGTCATATCCTGTCTGCCTGACACGCTGAAGCGTTGATGCTGATACGCTGACATGATATCAACGCCGATATGGTTCATGTTGTCACGCTGAGATGCTGAAGTTGGGTTGCTGACTTGCTGGCGGGCTCTTACTTGTTGCGGCGTTGTCATGCTGGCTCATACTATGTGGGCACATGCCGACGTATTGCCCTGTTGGTATGCTCACATGGCACAATGAAAAGGAACGCACTTTTGAAAACAGCATTGTCTGGCAAAGACACAGCACTTGTTGGAAAACTTGCGATGTTGCCCAGCTCGTATTTCTTTCTTGGGTAATATATTTTTGAACTTGGATATTCTTTCATTAGTCAGTTCTATGGAACCATTCGTTACACGACCTACATACAGTAGTCGTTGAGCTGAAACCAACATGGTCTGGACACTTTGCAGACCCTCCGAACTTTCGCTGACGCTGTTTTCGCTCCGGACATCATCATCAGCAGAAGAGGCCTCCAGATATGATCACTGGTGTCACTGATCTATTGGTTTCTCCTATGTTATCACGAAGCAGAAGAGATCCGCAGAATGGGTTCTTTGAAGAGGGTTCTCGCGTGTGATCGCTGATGGATATTGATTTAGCCTTCCATGAACCACCTGGGCCTTGCCGGAAGTGAGGGACTCTGTTTTCTTCTTTGGTTCCCGTGGATTTGCCATGTGCTCGTTTCTGATGATGCACATCTGACTCTGAAGATCGCAACAAACCAAGACCATCCACTGATAGTGCTGGTTAGCCATTATTTTTGAAAATCATGCCACAAAGGCAGGTCTTTCAACAACAAAGGGCAACCGAAACGAAGACAAACCTCTTCACCGATGGCCGCAGTTTCGAGTGGCTGGGCGATGACCTTGCAGCAGACCTGGCAGTCGGGGTGCCTGGTGCCAGAAAGGAGAGAATTGGAAGGATAGGACATGATAAGAATAAACATGATGGGGCTGTTGGAACAGGGTGTTCATCTAGTTGGCCTGCCTTTTGGTGTTCCTTTGCAGCGGAATTGTTATTCTCTTCATTTTGGGCAGGGAAGGATTAATCAGCTACGCAACAGCGAACCAATTTCCGTGCAACTCTTCGTAGACCAGTTCAGACCAGTTCTCCATTCAAAGGGATGAATCTGAGCCTCTTCTCACACAGGATGTACTGTATATGTTGGGTCTGTCCTATTACCTGTAACAGTCGGTAAACAAGTATTATCCCTAATTATTTTAGAGAAACGCCCGCAACTGAACCATCCTCATCCACTGGCAATAGGATAGACCGATGTATATGCCAGGTTCTTTGGAGAACGCGTCTCCACTTTGACCGGAGCAGGTCAACTGGCCAAATGAGCGCAAGCAGCTTCTCCAAGTGGTTTTTTCTTTGTGGAATTCATCACTTTCTTCTTGTGTGTTCATATAAGGTTATGTATACAAGACAAAGAGATGCAGACGGCCCAATCAAACCAAGCATGGAGGCGCCATGGCGCAATGCCACCTATTACTCCCCCCCAAACCCACGGTATTCCCTACTCTCGGTATACCCGGGCGCTGAGTTCCTGTTTCCGCCATCGAATTCGATTCCCCCCGCAGTAGACGCCGAAACAGCGATTCAGCGCCGCCGCCTCGAGACGCCCCTCGATCGAAGCGACCGCGCGCAAGGCGAATCTGCGCGAGAGCCGCCAGGAGTTTTCCTGCGAGCGGAGACCCGCTGGAATCGTGGCGATGGGTTTCGTGAAGAGTGGCATCCGTGGCATCGGCATCGGTGGTGGACCATTGGTTTCATTCGGGGTATTGGCTGTCAGAGTGCTTTCAGAGTAGATGGCTAGATGGCAACCCCAAGACGTCCTGTGGATGGGGGGACCATAGAATATTAGAAACCTCCAAGCTTGGGGTAACTTGTGCCATCTACTCTCAATCCACTCTAGACTAGAACGATGCGCAAATGCACGATCCGCTTCTAGGTTCCCTTTTCCTTACCAGCGAGTCGTGCATCGATCTTTTTCCCCCAATACAGTGTGGTCACCCTAAACCGGGGTTCTCTAAACGGCAAGGGCCCTGTGCGCGGCTGTGCGTTGAGTGCGGCTTCTTCACCCCTGCAACTTTGTCTATTCAACAGTGTGTGGGGTTGTTTTCTGGGAAGAAGGGAAGGGCAGAAGAGCTGGACCCTCAAGAAGACCCGCTTGGCAATTTTGGGAGAGTCACTAGGTTCATGTAGACTCTTGATTCATGTAGACCCCCCCCATGCAAAGAGGCTTTTCATACACATGGAAGATTGGGACATCTGTCGAGAGCCCCGAACAGCGGTGATGCACGTCCGCTGTTCAGGGCCCAGGCCGCCAGCGTGCTCGCATCGGGCCGCTGTCCGCTGTCCATCCATCGTCTTGATTCGGATCGGCTGGTCGCCTGGATTGACGGCAAGCCCTTTCCGTTTGGGAATGCCCATGGAATGCCATGGCACCTTTCACCTACCCGGTGGTTTAGGGTTCTCTGGCAGGCGTCGGAAAGCAGCGGCTTGAACCGCGGGGGTTCAAGCCGCGGGATCCTTCGGCCTCTGCCCCCCCAAACCGGAGGAGTCGCTGGAAGGAGCCACGGAGGCCGGTGCTGAGGCAGGTGGAGAGATGGTGATGGCACCGTCGAGAAGTTCGGTGGTGGCGATTCGGGGGATCAGTTGATGTTGATGTGCTCAGCGAGCGATTTCGTCCAAGCCTTTGAAAGAAGCTATCTCACACCTAGAAAGTCCAAAGACTATACTTTTCCATAGTGAAGTGAAGGACAGTCCCTGACTCAGGCACCCTAGTCAGACCATTCTTGTTGTAGTCGGTTGGAGGCCATTGTTGCCCACCCAAACTGAGAGGAGAACAGGGGTGATCATTCGACGTCAAAGGGAAGGCCCGCCCTTTCGCACGGCTCGAAAGGCCAGCTCTCGGATCGGCCTTTTGCACGGAGGATCGCCCGGCATCAACATGTTGGGTCCTGGAGGATGTTTCGAGTGTGTTGTAGCCCGTCTAGTACCCGGCTTAGGAGGGTTGAAACTTCACACGCACCTGTAAACACTGCTGCTGCACCACCTCTGCGAGGTGGTTGCGATGCCAGTGAAGCAATTGCGGAAGGAGGGACCATACGCGGGGGGGGGGTGGCTCCAGATCGAGGGGGAGATGGTCCTTTTCGACCACGAGATGAGGACGAAACGAAGCGAACGACCAAAACCCAATGGGCCAAGAGTTCTCCCGGATTTAAGATGCACACCCAAATGAATCAGCCCACGCTCATGAGCTTTTCGGGCTTTTTATATCTTGGGTTCTTACAAGGATCTAGTCTCTCGTGACTACACATTTCTTTGTCTCATCATGTGATGATGCGGGAGGTGGGTGGGTGGGTGCTTGAAAATAGGCCCTTGTCAAAACCCGGGCAACAAGCACTAATTGCCAATTGCCATGGTGGTCTCCCAACTGTATGTGTATCCGGGCCTTGGCCCATGGACTTACGCAGTTGTGACGGGCCTTTGGGAGACAGCACACCGGTTTTCGTCAAGTGTATGAGCTCACTGAAGAACTTGGTAGATTGCCCTGAACCCCACAGCAGAATGGAAGATCATCCCATCCCTGAAACCACCTTCCATATGTCGCACCATCCATCCATTTCAGCCCATGTTCCCCCCTTGAGAGATTGCCTCTTAGCCGAACTGCTCGTTTGAGACCGATCTCGGGACAACTCCACCCCTCCCCGTCTCGCGGGACCCCGTCTCGCTGCCGTCGGCCGCGGCCAGGAGTTGGCGGCGTTGAGTTGGATGCGCCGGGGCTCTCGGGGCTCTCGGGGAGTTGGATGCGCGGAGGCGGTGGGGCGGACCGGTGTTGGGTGAAGATCTATGGTTGTGGATTGGAGAGGTTCACTTTGGTTGGACCAACAGAGGTTGAAGAACCCTATAGGCTATCCCATAGGTACCCTGCTAGGGTCCTAGTTCAGGTCACTAAACCTCTGTTGGGAATGCTTCAGATTGAGCTTTCATGGGTTCGCCTGTGAGGAGGTTCACCCACCCAGCAGTTCCGGAGTTGGGTGCTGGGGTGCCGCACGGAGGAGCACGTGCGCCCCGTCGTCACATCCACGAGTCCTGAAGGGATCTGAAAACCACCCGACGACAGGGTGACTTCAAGTCAACTTGTTGAATGACAACCTGGACCTTCTTTCGGGGTGTCCTGGCTGGAGGTCCCTGTAGGTGGTGGGCTGGGGCGAAACCAGGTGACCCCGGATAAAGTCGAGTTCCGCAACTGCGCAGGATTCCGCAACTAGGATTCCGCAACTGTTTGGTCGGATTCCGCAACTGGGATTCCGCAACTAGGATTCCGAAACTAGGATTCCGCAACTAGGATTCCGCAACTAGGATTCCGCAACTAGGATTCCGCAACTAGGATTCCGAAACTAGGATTCCGCAAGTGTCAAGATTCCGCAACTAGGATTCCGCAACTAGGATTCTGGTGTTCCGCAACTAGGATTCCGCAACATTGCGGACTCCTCACTAGGATTCCGCAACTTTGTGAATGATGAGGGGGTTGGACTGATGTCGAGATCACACGATGGGGACAAGGGGGGGTTGGGGGGTGGGGGGGTTGGGTGGGGGGCTAATGACGTTGGTTTGGATGTGCTTCGAAGGTGATGTCACAGGCACACACGCTATCGCATGATGTGGAGATCACCAGTTGCAAGTTTCAGAAGGCAAGTTGCAGAATCTGACTTTCCAGTTTCAGAATACCAGTTGCAGAATCTGACTTTCCAGTTTCAGAATACAAGTTTCAGAATCCCAGTTTCAGAACCCTAGTTTCAGAACCCCAGTTTCAGAATCCTAGTTTCAGAACCCCAGTTTCAGAATCCTGGTTTCAGAATCCAAGTTTCAGAACATTAGTTTCAGAACCCCAGTTTCAGAACCCTAGTTTCAGAATCCGACCGATTAGTTTCCGAATCCGGCTCTAACCAGGTGACCCCGGAATGAAGGTGCTGGAAGGTGAAGCTTGGTCAAGACACGTATCGCCAAGTCGGTTTGACATGGCGGATCACGCCGCCCATCCTGCGGGGACCAGAACGGACGCTTCATGTTGAGCACGCCACCCAGGATCCCAGCGTCCTTGTTCACATGAGGGGCGGGCCCATCCGCTGGAAGGGTGTCATCCTTCCAAAACACCGCAGAAAGAAAACACGAAAACCACCGTTTGCAAGGTTTCACCATGTTCTTTTCCCGCATGGAGACCGCCCTGCGAACCACAGGTGTGTTGTTGGAACGAAGCCCGTCGCGTCGTCCGCCCCGCTGCCAGGGGAAGAGCTTGAGGAAAGACGCCGCCAGGTGCTCCGATTCCGGACGTGGTGTTGGCATGGAAAGGCCTCTGGAAGTGGGAGATTGTATTACTATACAATTATATATACAAATTATAGTATTATGATAAATATAGTTATATACGACACGACACATTATAGAAACATAATGTATATATGGTGTATGATTCATGTATTAGATCAAACACACGATGTTTTTCATCCCTTTCCTTCCATCGGAAGCACGCCAAACTCCTTGCTATGGCCCAAGTTCTCCGGCGAGTTCGGACGGTGGTGAAGGCTGAGGAGTTGCGAAGAGAGAATGCTGAGCTCAAAGCCGTGAGCTCAGTGAGGGGGGAGATCCTACAGTATGACAAGGGTTGTGATGCTTGCAGCACGGATTTCACCACTGAAGGGTGGAGGAGAACATGTTGTCCCATCAGAATCGTTCGCTAAGACCGCGGCGACCCATTTGAGTTGCAAAAGGTCCTACTGCGAGCGTTTGGTCGCTGCGCCAAGTCTCTTTGACCAGCCGTTGGAATGTGGGACACATCGAGCAGCTTTGTGCGTGTGCCGCTAGGACCGTGGTGACAGAGGTATCCTGAATGTATGGCATGCATGTGGGCTTCCTTACCTAGTCACGTTAGCAAGAAATAAGCGTTGAACCCTTGCGCAGCCCTGAGTTGATGAAAGCCGGTGTTGAGGGGAGCTCCTACTTGAATGGGAGCATGCCATACAACCTAAGTTGCCTTGGCGCGCAAACAGCTTTGCTTTGGAATGCTGAGCCGCTTCACAGCTACTCCACCACGCAGCGCAGCACGCGTTTTCCGCTCACCACCTGGGTGAAGCTGCGTTTGGCTGCCCCACGCGCCAGTTGGTGACACCAAAGTTTTGTGTGCGTTTCTGCATAGAGGGATGGTTGTGGCTTCTTCCCCATTTTGGACCAGTGAGCCCATACTGGCAAAGGCAACTCTATATTGGCGCAAGTGGAGCATGCCTCTCTTATATATATATATTAATATAAACGCATGAGTAAGCGGGCCCTGATGACACATGATTTTCTTGTGCAAGTCTTGGTCCTCACGGGTGCTTCCGTGAAACCCATGAAAGATTTTCGGGTGTGTTCTGGCAAAGTTGCAAGAGAGGTTCCCTTGGATTGTCAGAGCTCAAGGAGCCGGATGTCGGCAAAACATTCGTGTTCGCAGTGCGTTTTTGGCACTTGCACCGCAAGAAACACATACAAAAACGAACGGTTGTTAATAGACTTTGAGTTGTTCACCCATCATGCCCCACAAGGGATCCAGCCCCATGATACATGTCGTGTGTGCAGTGGCAGGGGAGGGCGGCGTTTCCACAACGGCCTATCCTGTGAGGATGCTTTTTCTCCTTGGTTTTCTGCAAGGTTCATGCAAATAGTTCAGTTCATTGCCTTTGAAACCCTTCTCGTTCACGGTGAACGTTGACATACCCCGAAGATACTTTCAAGGCGCTGTTTGCTGAGACTTTTTCCAATGCATCAAGGCGGGCCTTCACATCCCTCCGTGTCGGGCGCATCACCCAGCCAACACCCTCCAGCAATTGGTACCGATTATTATTTTTTATCTCTTCTCTCTACAGACCTACAGGTCAAGACCTCATTTAACTGGAGTTGATCATGCAAAAACGCTACTGGGTCTTTGGGCCTGCAGGGTCTTTGTTTTTCTTCTAGCGCTTTCCGACCAAGGCCGCGCGTGAGGAGTTTCAAACCCGTTACGGCCAGCTGCTGCAATCCCGACGCCCAGAAACGGCCAAGCCCGAAAAAGAAGGGCGCTGCCCCTGGAGGCGCCGAACAGTTACCGAAGAGCCTGTGAGTTTGTGGGTTCACAAAGAATTCGGACCCCCTTGTTGGAAAGCAGACGACTTGACATACCTCCCAAGAAACCTTGTCGCTTGGTACATACGTATTCTTTTTCGGCCCCTGAACTTTGGAGAAAGATGTCTCTCATGTCGCCCACGACGTCTCCTGAGAAGGTGAGACTGGGGTGGGTGGGTGGAAAAATTCAAAACACCTTTTCTGAAGTACGACTGGAGCCCTAGGAATTCTCAACGTGGTCTTTAGATAATCCGAACATGAAGGTCCCTTTACTTAGAGATGATAATTGGTATATGTTGGGTCTGTCTGTCGCATGCCTGTAACAGTCGGTAAAAGATTATCACAATTTGAGAATGGCTTTCAACTGAGCCATCAACCACTGTTACTGGGAATAGGATATACCCAAGGTACACATGCACAGTACCGAAAAAGGTTCAGACAATGCCCCTGTGATCGACAGGTCCAACTGGTCCGCAGCCTTTCTACGACTGCAGCTATAAGCTTGCTAGGCATTGAGTTCTCTGCTGCAGTTGGGAAGAGATGGAAAACACATAAAGGCAAGGCAGAACAAGTTCAGCGATAGATCGCCATGGCATAGCAGCCGGACTTTTGCTGCTGCGCAGTGATGTCATCGTGGAGAGTTGCTCTCCAGCACCGTTTTGTGGGGACAGGATCCAGCGGGCTTGGTGCAGAAATCCGTCAGATTGGTGCAATAGTTTGTAGGAAATTCAGCATTGTAGGGGCGGCCGCACGCAGAGCCTGAACATCAACAGGCGTAACTGCCCCAGCCTTCAATCACAATTTTTTTAGATGGGAAAGACTTGGTTTGCAGTGTAGAATCTTAGGTACTGTGTGCTGTGCAAATTGACATTTGGGGATGTTCCCTGATCTCAAGCTTTTGACTGTTGAGCTTCTGCCCTGTATGCTGGCGCACGCCCAATAACTCTGTTGTTTGCCCAAGCCAAGCGAGGTCCCGGTGCTTTTGGTTTAACGGGTTGGGCACAGTCATAAAGTTCTTCAGCGCACATGGATTCGGAATTGCTGCGGTATACTTACGGAATCGTTTTCTCCTTGTCAGTATGCTTGCGGTCCAACTCCGTGTGCGATCCATCCCAGTACCGAGCCATGTCTGCCTGGAAGCGCGATGGAGAGACCTCGTCGGAAAGCCGATCAGCGCCCTGGTCGAACTCAGCGACCGCAGAGCAGAACTGATTAGACCGACTAACGGTCGACCAACGGGGATTTTGCATGGTCCGAAGTGCGAGGCTTATATAATGAGCAAAGCGTCGCCCGCGCTCGGAACCCCTCGAGGTCAGGACATGGAACAACATAGCCATGGGGTCCTGGGAGAATATGAGTGAGTTGATCCCTCCACTCGCCCCTCCCGAAGGTTCGCTTTCATTGGCCTCTCTCCGCGACCGCCCGAACCCGCTCGCGAGTCGACCGAAAGATCCGCGCGTCGCAAGGTGCGCGACGTGTCCGAGAACGACGCGCGCGACTTCGTGGAGCGCTTCTTGTCGGGGCGCCTGACGCCCGCAGGCGGCCGCTCGAGGTCGAAGACGGCTGCGGGCGAGGTTGCGAAGCCAAAGACGTCGGCCTTGAGCTATCATTTGCCAAAGACGCATGGGGAGCACAAATGTCGGAGTGGACGCTTTGCGAGGCGCCGATTTGTGGTTGGAGAATGGGAGAAGCAAAGGGATAGAGGGGATGTTGGAAGAGAATGACAGTCTGAGTTTTCTTCCTTTCCTTTTGGGTAGTGTAAGCCACAAAGACCTGCTAAGCACGGAGTCACGCTTTTTCATTTGCTCATGAAAAGCCTCTTCGCTACCGCTGTTTTCCCCTTCTCTGTGCTTCGGGCATCTTTGAGGACCTACACAGGAGGAGGGGTGACCTATTATCCGACGACTCAGAGGCTTGTGCTACGGTCAGCATCAAAGAAGAGCAATGTGGACATCTTTCAGTTGTGGGATTTGTACCAACAGGACAAGCGGCCCTTGTGGCAACAGGTGCGCGAGAGGCCCCAGGACTTCCACAACGAGAAGATGGATAGTGGCAGGTATCGGAATCAACGCTTCAAGACCTGCTATAAGAAAAAGGGCTATGCAGCCTTTGCCTTGGCCAACCCGAGCTACTACCAACAGTCCTTGCGCATGAGGATGTTCTATGAATACTGTGTGGGCCTCAAGGAGGCTGAGGAAAACCCGCAGCCCGGAGGCACGGATTCTACGAAGACCGCGCCAAAGGCGAAGAAGACAGCGACGAAGGCGACGAAGGCGTCGGCCGCGTCCAAGTCCAAGTCGCGCAAGCGAAAGGCAAAGGAGGTGGATGAGCCCTGAGTTCGTTGAAAAAGTGGAGAGAGCGTGTTGCTGCGTCGGGGTAGCTAGCCGTTTGAATAGTACTTGGATTTGTCAGGATGGTCTCACAGCATCAACTGTCACCAGGGAATTTACTGGAAAATGGAGACGTTCCATTTGCTCCCAGCAGGAAGAGTATGGCTGCGGCATCTCGTGTTGGCTTTGGCTTGGTCAAGGGGGTTTCTTGGGTGCATGTGTTGGAGCACCCTGATGTTCTCAAGTCAACCATTTGGGTTGCAAGGGTGTGGGATTACAATTCCTTTCGACAGGATGCCACGTGCTCACGTTTGCATCGTTTGCCCAGGCTACCGGCTCCTGTCGCTAGCTCACTGAAGTCTCCGAGAGCCTCCGGAGAGAAAAGCCGGCGTCCGACGGTTCGAGAACAGATCTTAGGATCACACATTTGCTCCTGGCATTCCAAGCACCATTGGTTTGATGGGCTTAATGAATAACCTTCCTTTGAATGGTCTTGGAGGGCTAGGGTTTGGTGACCAATCAGATAGACGAGCGATCTCCAAGAGCATTGGTGGCCTTTCTTTTTGGGTCCTTCTCGAGTTTATGATGCAAGTGCGCCAGCCTGCATCAGCCGTTCATCACGGGAGTCTTTTCGGGGTCAGTTTTCAAATGTCGTGCGAGAGAAACGTGAAGTATAAGACTTGTTGGTGTGCCGCAAAAAACCATTTTGGTTTGGCAAACACTGAAGTATGGCTTCGTGTAGCTTCACATTTTGTGGCGTTGAGCCTTCTTTCGCGCCTCTGTGGTCGCTGCAAGGGATGCATCGCTTCTGGTTTTGGCCCAAACCCATGACACTGATCCTTCAGATTGGTTGGCTCTGAGGTTTTAGACACGAGGTGCAAGAGGTGCGATGTATGCTGAATTAGATAAAGTATATGGGACACTGCATGGAAAACCGACGTCGGAAATTCCTAAGGCTGGGGCAACTTCTGCTTCTTCTTTTTACCACTGCCTGCAGATTTTGAACTAAATTCAGGACCTGCAGACAAAGGTAAAAAGGACTTCTAGCTGCTCTGGGACATTGCACACCTGCTCCAGACGGTCCAAGCCACCAACTGGGAACGAACATCTCTGACGAAAAAACCGTTTTTGGGCTTCGACGGATGTTCCCAGCCGCCCCCGCAAGCGCGCGGCCGCGCGCGGCCCTTCCCGCGGCCATTCCCAGCGCCGCTAGAGCGCCAATGCTCCACGGGGTGAAGGAGTGGTGCATGGGGGAGCGAGTGGCGAGGGGTAGGGCTTTCCAGAATTCAGTATCTAATCTTTGAAAAGCACTAAACAGTACTAACCAGGAGTCACATGGAGTTGGGTGGTCTTTTGTTCAAATTCAGTGAGTGAATGTTCTGGGCACCCCTATCCTCCCAGTTCGGCATGTTTTGTGATTCCTGAAATTGATATGCCATGAGTGTGACTTTTGCAGGTGTGGGTGGCGTGCAGATGCTGGCTCTTCAGGGCTTCTCACCCCAAGACTCCGTTTTATTGGTTTGAGGGAAGAGGAGATGCAGGTGAATTGCAGTTTGGATCAACGTATCTACAAAGATTGTCTAGAGCCTCGAAATACTGTATTCGCTGTCTAAAAACTCATAAATGCAACCGAACCGCTGGGTTTTGCTGGCCTTCCCCCAACACAGAGGTGGATGGTGCAGGGTCAATGGTGCACAGGAGTCGGTGGAGATCTTGGGGCGTAGGTCAAAACGAAATCGCACCCCTCAACAGCCCAGTCTCGCCCCACCCACGAAGTCTGCAGGATTCTGCTACCGCCGATGGCGGCTCCGTCAGCCGTGCCCTCTTGGGTGGCCTGGTGGCCTGCTCCAAAAGCTCAGCCGCTTAGGTCTGTTCGGTCCATCGCATCCCTTCCCGATCCGTCGCGCGGGTTTGAGCGCCATGAGGTTGCTCTTGGTGTAGGGATGTGTAGGGTGCTGGGTGAAGGTTTCGTAGATGAGGTGAATTCCTGCTGTGTATGACCAACAATGGCAATTTGGAAATAGAGATCCTTTGCTTGCGACAGGTCGTTGGGACACCGGTCGCCACATGAGCCAAATGCAGGGTCCCACCTTTCTGAAGTCTGTAACCTTCTCCAGGTCTCAAGATTGTGAAGATATCAAGTTGGGTAACTGAAGAACCTGGGTGCGTCAGAGGACCCATGGCGCGGGCGCCTCCTTCCGCTCGGCTCGAGCGGCGCGGCTCCGTGCGGCCCGAGGCGACGAGCGGCTCGGTCGCGCGACGGAGGACGGCAGTCCGAAGGAGCTACTTCGTGCTGCAGGCGAGGAGGGCATGATGTGCCAGGGAATCCAAATGTGCATGTTTGTTGGGTTCAAACACGTGGCGCGTAACAAAATCCGTGCATCCGGCCTGTTTTGTGGACAAATACGGCTGGAATTCCTCCGAATATTGGGTTTGATTGGGGTTTTATCAATATAATATTTGTTTGGGTTTTGGTCAATAAAACGTTGATAAAGTTTGGGTTTCATATGGGTACGCTTTTGTACAGTATTTTTTTTGTCCATACGGCTAATTATGCTAATTTGTTAATTAAAATGTCCGCTCGAAAAATTCTGTCCAAAAACAGCCTTCGCACAA